ATGGTGTCGTCATGACTGTTATGGTGTCGTCATGACTGTTATGGTGTCGTCATGACTGTTATGGTGTCGTCATGACTGTTATGGTGTCGTTATGACTGTTATGGTGTCGTTATGGTGTCGTTATGACTGTATGTATGACAGGGCAGTGCTATGTGCAAGATGGTTTTGTTCTAATCTAATGCATTAAATCCTATTAGTGTTTCAGGAGTATAAGGCAGCTCAGAGCAATGATCCACTTATGCAATCACATTACTTTCATAAGGAAACATTCTCCGTTGCAAAACATTATGAGGCCCTGACTTTCTGAATTATTACATTGCACAACATCACTTTAATCACAGACCTGTGATTTACTTCAAAGACCTGCTCATAGTAGCAGTCAGGAGACAGCTATTTATTGATTTTTTTTCATGTTTGCATACAATTCTTTCTGAAAAATAACATCATAGATTAGATGTAGATGTTTAACCTTGTAGTGAAGGTGTGGCTGTAGGAGTGTAGCCTGGCTCTCGCCAGACCCTTGTAGTTCCGCCATGCTCCACCAGAGGCGTTTTCGCTTCACACAGCAATCTACAAGGGTCTGGCGAGAGTCAGGCAAGTGGGAGTGGGCAGCATGAGGCCTTTACTTTTGTTCATGTTTGTGTCTACAGAGTTCCAGGATCAATTGTTTTATAGGTCTTTCCTTCAGGGGGTCTGTCGGCGTTGAAAAACCATCCAACATTTGGCCCTGTAGCATAAAACCCACTGCGATGGAATGTAAAGGCATCGTTCTGACCACTCATGGCCGCCGGGTCACTGCGAGGGCAAAGAAGTTCCATAAAGCATATTTAAAAACATATTAACACAAATAAAACGGAGTACAGATATGAATAGCTTTAATAGGGCAAAATGCATGATTAGCCCTGACATTAATATGTTTAGTTCAAAAACATGGTTTTATTTACTTGGGAAGCATAAGACAACAGTAGATTCATCAATAAATGTTCTTAATATAGTAGAAATAAAAACATTGTTAATATTGTGAAATAATTGTTAGTTACCAATGAATGTTCTCTTTTTTCTAAATTGATTGTTACTTCCTGTATACACAGTACTTTATATTTGCCTCTTATTTTGCCAAATGTGAAAATTTTACACTTCTTTTTATTATCATTATTTTCAAGATAGAGATTTTATACTTGTTATTGATGCTAGAGTTAGAGATAATGTTTTATTTTAATTAGTATAGCTATTGTTCACTTCTCTTGTGCCATGTGCTCCTAATTCCTACAGTTCTGTAACTTGTGACGCAACACTGACACTTCCCTACGGTGGGATGAATAAAGAATCTCTTAAACTTAATCTTAATCTATATTTGTTCAACCTAACCAAAGCAGAGAGAAGCTGCTCCAAAGACCCGTTTAAAGTGTCATACATGTTGTACCCTTCATGTCAGCTCCTGGAAGCTTTCACATTATTATTATTATTATTATTTTTTATATTCATAAAATCCCACCCGCTGTATCTGCACTGTTAGCCTGGTCGTACCACGCCATAGTACAAATTACATTTCGTACTAAGGTCTGGTGCTGCTCCATTGACTCCGTTTACAGGTGGGAAGGGTTAACTCCTTTTGCAGATTGAAACGATTGGATCTGAGTTTACCGTGACGTATGTAATGCGCCCGAGTGAGTCGTTAGCATTTAGCATTTAGCCTAGCCATCTCCTTTGCCGCTAACGGAGCCCGTGGGGAGTAGCGCCACAATCTTGACCAGCGATTACATTTGCTAAACATTCCTCTTGCTCCTGATTCAATTTCTTGATAGAACCAGATCGGATTACTTTACCCTTACTCTTTGCCATTTCCAAACTACAACCTGCCCGTCCAGCTAAAACTCTTGACGTCACCCAACACCCGCCTCCCGCACTCACTGATTGGTCGGATAGAATTCTACCGCTGTAATCACAAACACAGGGACCAGACCCAGATGTTACATACAGGAAATGATGATTGACCAGAGTGTACGGATGGATAAGGCCAGGCTACTGCACTATGGATCTGAGCGCAGTGTTTGACCCCAGGAGAGCAGGTACGTAGAAGCCTGGCTCCTGTTACACAAGCGACTTAAAGGTACATTGTGTAGTTTTTACTCCCATGTAACATTGAAATCATATTTTGCAATCAACGGTATTACGTTAGCTTCGAAGGACGGTGGTCAAAGTGGGCGAAGGACGTGGTCTCCAACTCCCGGTCATCATCCTCTTTGTCCCTTATCAACCACTGTATTTCAAGAGGGCGCATTGACATGAAGAGTCCTCCAGCCTCATGGACATTTATAAGTCAAATTCTAAGTCTATACAACAACTCAAAAATATGGATGAGGTAAATATTCTTGAAAAGGTCACATTTGTTCTTGGTTAACATGTTTTTTTCTTTTGGAGCAACTGTAAAAATAACACAGTCCCGTTAAGATGAATTTTTACTCTCTGGCTTTTAACACCACATGTTAACAGATTAACTAATATTTCTGTTTTTATTACATTTTTATTGTAAACTGGTGTTTTATTGTTTTTATGACATTTGTATTGTTCTTTACTGTGTTCCTAATGTTTTATTATACATTTAAATGTGTTAATTTTATCTGTGCAGCACTGGCGTCATAAATACAGTGGATTGGATTGAAGCATTACGACAACACAAATATTATGAAATGTACTTTTATTACACATACAAGATCGTCGTCCGAGACACGACCGAGCGAAACATTAAACCAAAAAGTTATTTTCAAAAGGGAATACTTTATAAAGGTTAAAATAAATAATAAGTCATAGCTTTAACGTGGAAAGACATTTACACATGATCAATACAAATATGTACAAAGTGACTTTTTGTGGAAAGAGAATGGAGCAATGTTCACCCTACATGTATAATCAGAGATATATTAATTAAACAAAGGATTTTAAAAAGCTGTAAAGGCTGCAAAGAACATTGTTGCCAAGTCAAATTAATACCATTGTTTACGATTGGATAGTTGAGATTTGTAATACTAAAAGTGTAAAGCAGATCTCTCCATAACTTAAACGTGAGCTTGAAGGCCCAGAATCTCTGACCGATACAGTTTTAGCCAGCACTAAAAACACAGTTATGTGATCCCAGACTTTGTACCAGTGAGAGCAGATTCTCATCGTTAAAATCCGTTTAAAAGCACTGTTCGTTAAATCGCACTCGGTGGCATTCCTATGAAAAATACACGTGAAGTTTTACAGCAAAATTGAATATTTCCTTGGATATTTTACAAACACGGCCAGCTTAAAAATAACATATCTTACACAATGAATCCATATTGGTGGTCTATTTACACATTAGTCTTAAGGCCATAAAGCGGTTTGCAGCTGGAATTTGCAGTCATTTAAGTCAGAGTCTCGCAAAGGCCAGTTGGAAACTCAATGGAGCGTGAAGATATAAAACTCGGGCCGGTCTCCTCAATGCCTTGTGAATTTCTTTGGCCCGACTGGCTGCTCATGTGGCCGACATCACAGAGAGAGAGGGAGAGAGAGAGAGGGGGGGGGGGGGGGAAGCAGGAATACTGTGTCCGTCAACATGTGGAGTTGTGTTTTAATAATACAGTATTTTGTTCCAAGGCACATTGGTGTTGGGCACAAAGCAACGGCAAGGAAATTAGGCGGGAAAATACGCTATTTTTCTCACAAATCTTCTCCAAACATTAAAAGTAGTTTGTGATAAAAATGTTTTGTTATGTTTTTGGATTATGTGTTTTATCATTGACTCTTTTCCTTGAGCTTGGTTCAAACCATCCAATCTGTTGTTGAATAGTGGATGTTTAGAAAGAACCGCCCTTTCCACTTTTTGAACAATACTCTCGGGTCTTGTTTGTTGAGCACGTACCACCAGAATTATTGGAAGGACCAATAGTTTTGATGATCCACCCGGAAGTACAAAAATCCTCCTATAAAGCTTAAATTAATGTTCAGTTTTACAGAATACATTTCAGCAAAGTCAGAAGTAAAAAAAAAAAAAAAAAAAATCCTCAGATTACGAATATAGCTTTGCATTGCAGTGGAGAGCACAGGACATTTACTATGTGTGTAAATAGTGTACAAAGACACCAGAAAGCAACACATTTTGATGGACTATGTCAGTGCTGCACAGGTCAGGTCCATGGTTTTTGAATGCAGACACAGAGGGGCTAACCGGGATCCTGCAATGTGAGCGAAGGGGGTGCCAGAAGAACCACTACACATAACTTCAAGCCCATATGAACGACCAAGGAAAAGTCATACAGAGTGGAATTGCGAAGCCAAAAAGTGCAATAGCTATTTCTTGCTGAATAATGTTTCTCTCTGTAAAGTTGAGCCTAACTTTGGTTTGGGTGTTCACATTTAGATTGCATCCGTTATAAATATTCAAGATTCAAGAATATAATTGCCATTTGCAGTAAAACCACGTTGGAAAAACTTTGCAAGACTACCCCAGTGTGCACCAGATAGAGAAGATTGTACACACCAAAGCTCTTGCCACTCCTCTTGTAGTCCGTTCACATGCCCTTTTTTGTATTTTACACACTGTCTCACATGCTGCTGTTGGTCTGAGTGTGTGACATCAACAGGGGGTGTCATGGGGGTGTAACCTCATAAGGTGAATAGGCTCAATGTAATAATTTAATGTTTTTGAAAAATCTATTTGACTAATCCAACCTAACCATGTGAACACTTGGTGAACTTGTGAAGACTGTGTGCTTATAAGGTTTTTCTCTATACAATTTTAACATGTTTATTAGTAACTTTCAATCTAATTCCCAGTCAAAACTTTTCCCTACATATACAGCAAGATTGATGCAGCCCTCCTATTGGACTACACCCCTTGTCAACATGACATTAACATTTTCGGTCCATTTGACATGTGTGGTCCATGTCTCATGACAGGGAACATGGGGCAAGCACCAGAGAGGAGGAGAAGCTGCCAGCATAACAACGTCCATCAACACGCCGACTTTACAGATCTAGTAAACACACACCCAGGTGCACAGTACCAAGCCCAGCACGAGCAGATGTCCTCTCCATCGCTCTGTCCCGCCGGACGACAGCTGAATTTGCCTGCTATGGGAACCTAATCTCTGCCCAGGGGAGGGTAGTCTCTCCTCTTGCCCTCCAGCACACTGCACCAGGGGCGTCTGGAAGGAAGTGGGCCTCTTTTGCTGTCGGTCCGGGCTTGATCCATCCGTGGGCCTTTCCCCAATGAACAGCAGCGCTTGTTTTCTGTGGTCCAGCTCAGTTTTAAAGAGCTCGTATTCCTTATGGGGCAGTTTGATACCCAAAGCCGTGCACCCGTGTGATGCTGTAATGTCTTGCTCGATCCCGACCTCCCAACTTCCCGTCAAACCGCACTTCCCCGGTCTCGTGGAGCTGAGCAACTTGGCCGTAGCTTCGTCCAAGGGCGTCACTCGCACCTGAGTAACCTTGAAGACTAACTCGGTCGCCGTGGTGATCTTGGTGGACGGGTTGCCTTGAGCGTAGTGTCCGGACGCGGTGAGAGTGAAGGTGGGTTGGGAGCAAGACGGGTCCGAGTAGTGCCGGTAGATACCCCTCCATTGGTGCATGTCGGGCTCAAAGGTGAAGTCTCGGGTGAGGAAGAGGGCAGAGGGCCGGGTCTCGCAGCGCTGGCTCACCCATCGTCCCGACAGATGCAAAGGAGGAGAGGGTCCGCGGGGAAAGGCCGGGGGACGCAGCTCTGTGGAGCGGTAGACCAGGGCGCACACGGGGCAGGGATGGATGTGGTGCTGGAAGGATAAGGAACCAGATGAGACTCAATTATCATCATGTAAGTTTCAATTCAGTCCACTGTTAGCAAGCTAGTTGTTGCCACCATTACCATGACACTCTTATATAAACAGTTTGTTGAATAATACAATGCCAAATGTAAATTGAAAGTAAAAATCAATCATACAGAGTCATATTTTTGTCAGAAAGAGAGACAGAGAGGTACTTGATTTGAAAAAAACGACGCAAGCTCCTCCCCCTTCCTTTCTGATTGGTCTACACCTACGTTTCCGTAACACTTTGAAATGTTAATCAGAGAACACATTATACATATACATTATTAATACACATGCACGGAGGTTTTCAGAATTATTTGTGAACGTTTTAATGAAAAAAATAATGTTTTTATGCACAAAAAAAGCGATCGCGGCAAACCAGGAAGTGCTATTATTATGAATTGCACATTATAGGACACATCTGCAGAGGATCTGATTATGGATATAGGTTCAGTATATAAATGAGTAACTCAGCGCGGATGTTCAGAATTCTTTGTTCAGTTTTCATGTAGTTCCAGAGCCTAATGGAGGCTCCGTGAAAACAAACAACTGGGCATGCGCGCAGCTGCGAGCATCAGCGCCGATGATTGACAGCTCTTGGCATGACTCGATTGGTTAACCTCGACGGCACCGTGGATTCTGAGCTATAGCTAAGAGCAGGGAAGGCGGGACTTGCCCGTAATATTAGAATTAATAAAATGACTTATTTTATATCAACATTTAAGGCCAGGAGGTCAATTTAGCACATTTCCTAAAATGTGTAATTCATTTAGAGTTACAGACTATCACTTTAAGAAGAACAGCAGGTATTCTAAACAATTTACAGAATGCACAAAAATTGGTTCTCCCTTCTTTTGATTACCCCCTCTTTCCTCCTCCCTCTTCCCTCCTCCCTCTTCCATCCTCTCCATACAGTTAAACAAAACTAAATGTATTGTTTTTGTCCAAGTTCCAGTTTTTCCTTGCAGTCTGAAAACAAAACACATATGAACATTTGTAATATGGATATACACTAAATACATGAATTGAAAATATTGCTGTAATAATTCAGTTGTAATGCTCCTGATAATGTTTCTAAAGCCGTTCATGTCAGCAACTGTTTGGCTCGAGCCTTATTCGAAGCATAAATCATTGTATCAACTCTGACCTTGTCCAGTTTCAGATCCAGGCTTTCATGAGTTTGGACTGAGAGCAGCACATTCATCATGTTTCCACTTTCAGAAACGGCTCCAAGACTCACTCAGTAACTGTAAAACTTCTATTAACATTAATATCCCCATTATAGCATCAGTTCTGGGAAGGCCGTATTTTTAAAATGGTGTATTTTCTTACCTGATTACTTCCTTACTTCCCCAACACTTTCCTCAACTACATGCACAATGAGGTTCCCTGTGTAGAACGATCATGGTTGATTAAATATCAATGGAACTAGGGCTTAGAGCCAATAGTTGATCATTTAAAGCAATACCAATAACTTTGATTTGTGCTCCTATTGCTTTGTTTGATTATATATTTTCTCTCCCGAAAACCTTCAAACCAGGTCAGAAGTCCAGAGGTAATAATGGACGCGAGCTTAAATCCTAATGGCGACATCAAATCAGAAACAGCAGAAAATTGTTTACCAGCGGCTCAGGTCCTGGCTAAAACCAGGAAGTACTTTAGTCCAGTTCTCAGGTCTTTGCACCGGCTTCCTGTGGCTCAGAAAATAAACTTTACAATAGCTCTGCTCTTGTGTACAAGTCTCTCCATGGCCTCGCTCCAAAGTACAGTCCATCTGCAACATGTTAGGGCCATATGAACCAACTGGGAATCTGAGGAGCACAGGGACTGGCCTCCTGCTGGGACTCTGAGGAGCACAGGGACTGGCCTCCTGCTGGGACTCTCAGTAGCACTGCGACCATTAGCATTTTAGATCTATGCAGCCAAAATCTGGTCTTCCTGAAAATGAGAAACAGGCTTCTACTCTGACAAAAGTAGAAGGGCGGCACGGTGGCTGAGTGGATAGCACTCTCGCCTCTCAGCAAGAAGGTCCTGGGTTCGAATCCCGGTTGGACCAGGGCCTTTCTGAGTGGAGTTTGCATGTTCTCCCCGTGTCTGCGTAGGTTTCCTCCGGGTACTCCGGTTTCCCCTACCACTAAAAATATGTACAATAGGTTTGGCATGTGCCTCCTGTACTGGCACCCCCACCCAACAATTGTAAACCGCTTTGAGACTCCGATGTGCAGTGAAAAGGCGGTATATAAATAAAAGCTTACTACTTACTTACAAAAAAAGCCTGGATTATTAATTATTTTCTTTTTTTTGTGTGCCTTTTGTATGGACTATGCTTTACAAATAAACTTACCTTGCCTTGCCTTTTAAAACAATAAAACACACTTGTTATTAATCTCTATTCATTGTTTATAATACATTTAAGCCATGAAGTTTTTTTTTTTTTTTCATGGCAAGCAGCAGACAATTCACTCATAAATAGAGTTCAAATCACAAGACTTCTGAAAACTGAGAGTGAAGTGTTTCAACAGGGCCTACATTTAAGACCTTCTGAGCAAACAAAATGGAGCTTTCGCGAAAGTTCACCGTGGTAGACCCGGCTGCTGCTGCCCAGGCCACAGGCTGCTCTTCCTCGACTCATCAATACCAGCAACGCCCACATCCAGTCAACCAATAACCACCAGGACAGCAAGTTAAAAGCCGGAGACGCCCACTTCCCGGTCTTCTGAAGTTTGCAAGCCTCCGCCGCCCCACCTCCTCCTTCTCTCATGAAGCGTGCTTGCCTACTGCCTCTGCCGTCACCAGTGCCTAGGCCCCGGGGGGATATGTACGCGAGCAAGCGCAGTGCTCAACAGCATCCCTCCCGGGCCTAGGGCGCCAAACATGCTCAATCAATAAACATGCTTAAATCTAATAAGTCTAACGCATTTTCCTCATGGGTCTCTCCAAGGTGAAATGACCTCACATGAAGAAAAAGAACACTGCAATGTGAAAACTATCCCTGGTCTCTCTCAAACGTATCTCCTCACACAAAAGCCCTTACCATCACGTTCTGCAGGGGCGCCTGGTACCCCGTAGGTATATGGTGCGTCCTCTGTGTCCACTGTGTGTGAATATCACCCAGAAACATCTCCTGGACTTTTCCTCCATTGGCCAACTGTCGTGTCTCCACCCGGACCAGCCCCAGCTCCATCATGGAAAAGCCCAAAGCGGACAGACAAACCCGGCCTGCCCTGGTGTTGTGCAGCTCAAACAACTTCCCCGGGACCACACGGCTCAGGATCATCCCCACGCAGGACGGGGGCAGGCGGGAGGCCAGTCTTTGCTTCGCCGAGTGGTTGTGGACCACGATGGCCACTTTGTTGATGTGGTGGTCAGTCTCAGTGGCCCCCGGGGTGATCCAGGAGGCCTGACGCAGACGGAGCTTGCCACGAATGAGGAGAGAGTAGGCAGGGTCCTCGCAGGTGCTGTCGGTGTAGTAGTGTTGGACCGCCTGTAGGTGGCGCGTCGGGTGGAAGGAGTAGTAGCGGAGGAGGAACTCTGGACCTGGACGAACTTCACATCTGAAAATAGAGACATAATTACTCTTCATGGGATCAGATTAAAACATTTGCTTTGTTTGTGACTTCATCAATGGAAATAGTGCCATTAGTTTTGTTCTTAAATCATAGGAATGGGTTCAAGCGCCGTACAGAGGGGATGACAACAATCGTGTTTCATTGCCAACTAACGATCTGCCCAGTAATCTTCATCGTATGTGCTATTTTTTCAATATTTTAATTCATTGTGTAAAAGGCTATTCCAGTAAAAACAGTTGCGTTATCTCATCCCTCTGGTTTAAAGGAACATATATCTTGAACCCAACCATTAGTAAAAAAGTCCATGAGCCTCCAGGCAAAAGAGCATTTTAGAGAAACCGACCACTCTATAATATTTATGTGAACTTCAACATTCATGATCATAATCCAAATCAGATGACCATTCAGAAAGCTCCTTTGATAAAGTCGCCCTCAACTTAACTTCTGGTCCCTTTAATATTAGTTCTCGCAGAGCCGTTGTTTTGACTGCTTCCATTCAAATCAATGGAATTCTGAGAGAATGTTTAGTTTTTCACCAGATTCATTAAAAGAAAGATTTTTTTAACCAGATTTTTCACCAGATTCGTTAAAAAAAGGAATTTACTCGCTTTTATTGAGTATAAAACTAGTTCATATAATTGAAACGCAGCAAAAAAAAAAAAGGCTAAAGCTAACTACTGACAGTAAATTGTGTGTTGCTATGGTAACTGGCACTCGGTATAATTGTGAAGGTAAAATTCCTCACATTTCAAAAGTAAAAAGACTATTTCATATAATATAATGACACAGAAAAAGTCATGGCGTTATGAAGAAAATAATAATAATCATACATTTTATTCAAAAGCCGTCAAATTGACTGCTCTGCAAGTTCTAGTGTTAATGCTGGCAAACCTATATTTAAACTGTAGTGATGCAAATGTTTTTTAAATGTTAGTAAATCAATTTTAAAACTATTTGTCTTTTTTGTACTATTTTGTGAAACAGTTTGTTTGAAATATACATCCAGTGTTGATAATATTATGTGTATTGACCTTGTAGACACCCAGGTACCATCCAGCGCTGGAGGGACACTGGCTGTGATCTTTGCCTTCTCCTGCAGGGGACACTCTGGCTCCCACTGAAGACTGTGGCTGACGTTAGAAGAGACCGGGACGTCCCAAAGTTTACTCCTGGACGCAGCCACAAGAACAACTGTGGAAACAAAACAAACATATGAAACTTGAGTACGAGCAGAAAGAGATGGACAGATTCCTAATCCACTGCTCAGTATAAAACAAACACAAAACTTAAAAAAGGACCAAGCAGGGGCTATAAAAAGTAAAAGTAATACATCATGCCATTGGTTCTAAAACAGTAAAACCAAAAAACATAAGATACACTTAATAAAATGAAATAATGATTAATGATCAATATAATAATTGAAACAAATTAGTAATAACTCAAATGAAACGTGAAAAGTGGAGGAAGAAAGTATTACAGATGTATTACTAAAAAGCCTTTTTAGCACAATATATATTCCTTCGATTAATCTTTAGGGATCCAATATTCTTGACATGAATAAAATATATTATTTTCTATGGTTTAGTTTCTTGAGAACATTTTTTGTTTGCACTTAATACTGTCAGTCATTAGTCAAGTGACACTGCTTTTTCATGTATTTATGAATTTTTCCATTTATTGCTTAAAATAATACATGTGGAGATACAGGCAGATCATTTTACGTTATTACAGTTTTATGGCAGTCACTTATTTTGACATTTAATAATAGAAATACATCTTGGGTCATTCTGGGCTTGTGTAGAAGTGTTGCGGTGGTTTCGGTCATGTCTGGTTTTATATGTAAACACACTCAGACTGTGAGCTGTCATTTAGGTTCATTTTCCGTGTAATGAGAGGCGAGGGCGCGTTACAGAAACACAGAAACCGTTTGGCTCGTCTCTGATCGACCGCCACATTTATAACAACAAGGTTTCAATGCATTTGTGACTTCTTCACCACAGAGAGATCTCACATGTACTCAGTTATAATATAGTTACTGCTGATGGGGTAGGTTTTAATCAGTATTTTACTGATGAATGCACTCCCCTTTGTATGTCAACTTTACCATTAGGCGTCAATGAATCTTGATTCTATTGATTTATATATATTTTGACTACAACTGTAAATGAATGAATGAATGGACTAAAACTGTGGTACATATTTAATAATTGGTGGATTAGTCATATATGTATTTTACATTTGATCCAAAATACCTGTTGATGGCTGCTGATTCTCCATAATTAACTACAATCAACAGGAAAAGTAAAGAGAAATGTGTTTCAGTCGTCGGGTTTGTTCTTAAACCGTGATGAATAAATCTCACAAAAAACGCATGAGACTTCACTATCAATGATAAACTTCAATAATACATACAGTATATATGTCAATAATACATACAGTATATATGTCAGTGATAAATATATATTTCAATAATACATATATATGTCAGTGATACGTATATGTCAGTGATACATATACTGTATTTGCCAGTGAGAGTTTCTCAATCCCCAAACATCTGGTGATTATTTGACTCAACACACTCTTATAATGACAAATGTGTTTTCTCCAGTTTCACCAAACACACTGACAGTTTAGTTCATTCAAATGAAAACTTTATTCTCAGTCTTTCTCGTCTGCGTCCTCTCGGCCTGTCACCGGCCTAAACGTGATGTTGTTGTTGTGTGCGGGAGGCTCTGGTTACTGGGAGACGGGAGTGAGGTCTTTTTGATTGGACCCTGAAGGCTGCGCGGTGAACACGGACACCGGGCCTGGCAAATGTAAAGGCTTCAGTTACAGTGAAAAGTCAAACAGCGACGGCAGTTTGTATGGACTTAGAAAACATGTAAAGAGATTTTTTTGTTTTATATGGAATTGTTCTCAACGCAGGTCTGCAAAATATGCCATGAACGTTGGAGGAATTGTTGTTACATAATGTGAAAAAATCCCATTATACTGTATGTCCGCAGTAGTAATTCAGTGACAAAAGCTGGGCCAGTCTTCCTGAAAATGTGAGACAGGCTTCTTTTCTGACAATAATCAAATCCAGGTTAAACACAATCTTTTTAGCTGTGCATACAACTGAAGGATTGTATCGTCTGCCTTTTTAATGTACTGTGATTATTTATGATTTTGTCTCATTTCCTTGTGTTTTCAGCCTTTGCCTTGTGCATCCTTTTGACCCCTTGTTTGGAAACAGACCAAATAATAGAAAATCACTTCTTAAATACAACTTTTATCAATCAGACTTTGTTTTACTGTTCTACTATGTCTTTATTTGGTCTTTCTGCTGTATTTATTTTTGATCTGACTGTTTTTAACGGTTTATGCCGCTTTGTAAACACTGTTTTTAAAAGTACTATACTAATAAAGATGTAGTTTATTAATTATAGATACATAAAATAGTTACCAAGGCTTTTGTCGCTCCCATCTCTGTGTGGAGTCAGAGACAAATGCCCACAATTGTAAAGACTCTGGTCTGTGAAAGGCGCGACATATATAAATCTTACTTACTTACTTCACTGCTCTCTCCTCTCTGCTTGTTTTTCATACAAGTTTATTATTTTCCTGTATATGAAAATAATAAAAATGCATCGGTTTTATATAGCGCTTTTTTGGACCCTCAAAGACGCTTTACATGTCATCATTCCTTCACTCCAAACACGGTGGTGATAAACTACTACTGTAGCCACAGCTGCCCTGGGGCACACTGTCAGATGCGAGGCAACCAGTATGTGCCATCGGCCCCTCTGACCACCACCAACCATTCACACACACACCAGACTCATTCTAGGCAATGCGGGTGAAGTGTCCTGCCTAAGGACACAACAGCAGTTTGGTACATTACAGCCGCAGCCGCTCCACTGTGGCACTTGCTGTTCCCAGAGGTTAAGTGTCTTGCCCAAGGACACAACGACAGGAGACAGTGGGAGTTGATGGAGAAAGTTTTGTGGTGGTCTCGAAACCACACCCTTCTGGCTCAAAGCCCAATGCTCTACCAACTGAGCTACTGTCGCCCGTATGAACATTAGTTTTCCCGTACACCAGTGCCACGTCCATGTGTCATATCGACGGTGAACAAGTTTTACCTCAAGTCAAGAAAAACCATCTGGAACCAGCCACGTGACAGAGACGCATTTGATTTGTCGTTTGAGCCCCCCACAATTTCAATAACTATGAAAAATGTGGTTCTACCCTTCTATCCAAACTTCAACTTTACAAGGTTGACAGTTTTATTTTCTGACAGTTATAAAGAAGCATTCATTTCTGCATAATTTAACAGTGACAGGGCAATAAGAAAACTTTGAACATTTTGGAATGATTCTTGTGATACTGCTTGCTTGATATTATTGTTAGTCAACCTTGAATCTCGCTTTCTTCTACCACTGTATTGTTTTACTCCCTCTGGCCCTGTATCTTTTTCATATCACACTCGGCTCATCTGTAAAAAAAGACATTTACAACAACCTCAAACTCGCAGTCTCGTCTCTTCTTTACTGCTGCACACTGGGAGAATCTAACCTGTGTAGCCTTGACTATTTTATTATTTTCCTACGGCTGGTTAAATGTTGGAAAAAATGTGCTTTCTGTGGACGTTTGTGCGGAAGATGGATACTGGTGGATTTTATAAGCTTGTTAGTGTCAGAGGAAGGATATTTTTTTGCGATTTTATGATTGGATTTGGAATGACTGCCATATGGTGACCACAACCGCAGAAGTATGAGCTACTGACAGAGGTATTCCCAAATATCTCTTCACCTGCGCAGCCCACAGACCACAAAACCAGATTTAAGAGTGAAGAGGAAAGTTTGAAGGCTTTGGATTCAAGGCATTTAAAGTCGTTCCTGCAGTGTGGAAATGCATTCATTTCCTGGTCCTATATTAGCTTCAGCGTCAGTAGTTTTATGCAAGACATTTCAATAAAACAGAGGTGTAGGGTAACTGCAATCCTTGATCCGTCACTGTGATTGAATAATACCCAAATTATGTTAATTCAAGCTGATTTTTGAGTAATTTCAACATGGACATTTATCAACATTTATGGACATTGCTCATCCGCCCTTATGAGTCAATAAACATGTTTTCTGTTCTATTTCTTGTGTTTGAACCAGTGTGGGTGTGTCAAGGTTCATGAGCACGTACGCTGACATGCTTGTAATCTCACTCCCTGCCTGTGGGGGTGTACCCGGGATGAGAATTACCCAATGCTTTTGTATGCAGCCTTCTTTCCTCTCAAAAACATCTTCACAGGATGGTCCAAAAGTCGGCTCTTGGCCCAAGATGCTGTTAATGCTGAGGGGAGTTTTAAAAAAAAAAAACAGTCTAGTTTAGCCGCTGTGAACTTTTAAATGCACTCGTCAAAATAATGTGGCTAGTGCCGATTCATGCATGCACAACAGCATTTTTTCACATTTTCCTGCCCCGTGGCCATTTTGAAAAGGCCCACAGAAGGCAAAAGTGGTGGCACATTAGTTTCAACGACAGGGATAAGCGTGACTACGTCCCTTATTTTTTAGAGTCTATGGTTTGTGCGGTTTGATTCTCTGATAACTGTAACTCTATTTTTTATTTAAATTTATTCCTTAGAAGTGTTTTTTACTCTTTATTTTTTATTATCTCTTTCTGACTGTTGCACTGAGCCAAAGCAATTTCCAAGTCTGTGACTTCCTGTTACTTACGTGGCAATAAAAATTATTCTGATTCTGATTCTGATCTGTGTTGGCAAATTAAAGGGTTTTGTGAAGTCCTCCGCGAAAACTTCTGTTGTGATTTAGGGCTATACAAGAATACATTGAATTGAATTTTTCTTCTACTTTTAATCACTGTGGTGGGTCATTAGGGGTAAGAATGTGCCAAATTGAAGGCAATGAGCTATTTGGCATTTGTTGGAACGTGGATTATGATTGTCTGAATGTACAATGGGAAAAGCCAAGAGAAAAGAACAATGTGAAATCTGGACCAAGGACATGATAATTGACTTCAGCGGGAAGAGGACACCACTGGAGCCTACCACCATTCAAGGCCAGGAGGTGGAGAGAGTGGAGAGAGTGGACCGCTACAAGTCTGTGGGAGTCCATGTGTCCAGTTTTCACATGTTGGACAAGACGGAGGAGGAAGCTCAGGTCTTTCAGCGTGTGCAGCCACTGGAGATCTTA